TGTGAGCAATCCCGGATCCCTGTGTGAAGCATAACACCGCCACCACCGTAACCCACACCTCACTCCCGGGCTTTGCAAGTGCTCTCCGGAAACCAGGACTAGAGGCACGGCCTGGTTCTCCCTTATCTTTTACAGAAAGCTCTAGGCCACCTCATTGCAGTAGCACAAGCTTCCGAAGGGAGGTTCACAAACAACTGTGCTAAAGGACCCGCAGTTTTGCTCCCCTCACCCTCGCTACCCCCTCCCAGCCATCAGCTGCAATTTTCAGAGTTGGAAGCTCAAGGTCATTGAGTGACCATGGCCCGCGTCCTGCCGCTGCAGTAAATCGTCACTAAAATTGCAACCGTGGCAAAGCGAGATCCCCCTTCTGACAGCTACAGGGTCAGCCTGCTCCCCCCCCCCCACCTTCCCAGCCGTTATCCCTCTGTAGAAACCTGATTCATGGTTACACTTTCTGTCCCTCAGCCATGAGTTTTACTCCTTGGACAAAACACTTCCCTTTCATTTAAGGCTTTAATAAACAAACGCAATCGTACCGCAGGAGGCTCAGAACCGTCCTTCTGAAAGCAATTCTACTGTTGAAAACTGAAAAATGGGTGTAATTTGCGTTCAGAAAGTGATGTTAGGGTCACAGCAATTTCCCGGGCCGTTATTTATTTTTACTTTAAAGTCTTTAGGGAAGATTTGCTTATATACTCGGAAATCTTCCAGTACGAGAACCCCAGCAATCCCGCTCGCCTTCAACGAGGGAGGGGGGCTGGAGGTGGAGAACAATTACTGAGTGACGCTAATATGGGGAAACTGAAAAGAAATGTCGATTGTTTTTATTGTAATAGAAGGAGTGAGCAAACAGAAAAACCAACCCCGGCTGATCGGAAACAGGCAGGCGGAGAATGAAAAGTGGGTTTCAGGCCGCAACAGGCCCCTCCCTCCCCTGGCCTGGGAAGGAGAGAGCCGGCGCTGAGCGCTCGCTGGACCCCACAACCTCCAGCACAGGCTCCTCGCGACTGTCCAGTCCCGGCACACCCGGAGCATCTTCCCAGCTCTTGCCCTCCCTCCTACAGCCTTACCAGCCACAGAAGAGGAAAGGGTCTCGGTGTGCGTGGTTCGTCTGGCCGAAGCAAGGCAGAAAAGCCAGGAAGCAAAGCTCCGAGAGTCTTGGGGCTCCGCTCGGGGTCCCCTGTAGCTTCTGGCTGCGCTGGTTCGTCAGCAGCGTCGCCGGCGAGCCAAGGCCAACAGGTCAGTGTGCGTGCGCCCCTCCCTCGCTGTCCTTCTACCCTAGGCCTGGCTGAGGACCCCTGCAGGCTGGCCCTGTCCCCAGACTTCAGTGGTTTTTTTCCCTCTAGCTGCCGCTGCCACCCGCGACTCGGGACACAAATTTGTTGGACGAGCCTCCTCGGGTGGACGTGGCCTGGCTGTGGGAGCGGGCCGCGCTGCTTACCCCGACATTTGCCTGGAAGCGCAGTGGGTGAAGGAGCGCAAACCCATTCAAGGTTGGCACTAATCGAGCGCCCAGATACGAAGGAGCCTAATTGCTTTTTCTAAGTCAAGCGCAATGCCGTACTCACCCTGCGCCCGCGTGCTGTAGAGGAGCCGAACTCGAGGTCCAGCCTTTGCCTTAAAGTTTTCCCCGAGCTCACTGCTTCTGAAATTCCACGTCCCGGAGCTCGACTCCGGCTGCCTCTGGGGTCTCCCAATGATCCTCAGTAGGGCATAGTGGCTTGGGCCTTGCTGGGTCCATTTTGCTTCTAATAGGGTACAAGCTGCGGAGTTCGGTTCCTAAGTACTCTTACCTACCTCCTGCGTTCACGGCAACTGAGGTAGAGAAAGACTCCCTTCCCTTCCGCGGTCACCACAGACCTGCACACGCACAGAAACTGTTCTTAAGTACTGGCTGAGACCAAATGATGGTTCCCAGAGTGGCTCTCAGCTAGCAGTGCCGCGATGCATTGTATGAGGCCTTGGGAAGAGCTGGACTCCGCTTTCGGCACGGCTTTGGGAAGAACTGGATTCCTCGTTCTGTGCACCTCTCAGACTTCGCTAGTGCCACAGGTGGCGGGTCCGTGACACTGGGACCCCTGACAGATTTATGAAGACTTTACGAGCGTCTAGGGTCGTTTGGGGGCAGGGTTGAGTTCAGCAGAGGAGGAGAAGCCCTAGGGCTAACGCCCCGCAGCGCTGTGCGGGCCTTGCTGCTCCTGCACCTCTGGGTTTGACTTCCACAGGCGGCTGCCCAGTGCCGAGTGTGTAGAATCCTGGACCAACCTCCTGCTTCACACCCTCTGGTCCTCCAGCTTCCAGTCTCCTACTGAGTAAATATTTACCCAGAGAAGGGGTCGCCCCAGAGGAGGCCTTAGCGCCTAGGGAAAGGCTTTTAGCTTCTCTCTGGCCTGTGCCAGATGCAGGCCTTTCTGGCTATGTTTTGGTTTTGGTCTTAAGTTTCTCCTTTTAGTAGAAATTTTCTCGATTCCTGTATGACCTCTTGGATCCAGACTTCAGTAACCTGGGACTCTGGCCCTCAGTGCCCCTCGCACTTTCTTGAAGCCCTGCACCCCTATGTGCACTAAGGCTCACTGGTACTAAGTATCTTCCCCCTTCTCATTTGTGCATTCCCCCCCTTCTCTCTCACTCTCCTCCTCCTCCCCACTTTTGCTACACCTCCAGGGATCACAGGCTTCTTGGCATCCAGGGCATTCTGTGCCCACAGGAAGGAAGGTTCAGCACTGGCCACTTCTTGGAGATGACGTGTCTCTTCTCTGTTCCTGCATCTCCAGTTCCTAAAGTCCCTAAGCACCGAGTTTGTTCTGTCACGGGTGCTGAGTGTCCAAGATTGATTCATTCTGTGCTCTCCAGAATGCTGTTAGGAGGGCCTGAGGGACACTGAGGTGAGGACCCAGGGTCAGTAAAATGCTACCTGTGCATGCCCAGGGCAGGCACAGCAGCTCAGACTGTGAACCATTAACTGCTAGACCCAGCAGACAGAAAACCTAGAGGTGTCTATGGACCTGTGCAAGAGTCAGAGAGATGTGTGACTGCTAAGATCTGCAGTGACAAGAATGCTGTGCATTAAATCCCCAAGCCAGAACGCTAGACACACAGGTCTCCCGATCACTCTGGGTTAATGAAGTTAGTTAGATTCTCATTAGGACACTAGATCTTGGCACTCCACAGGCTGGACACGATGTCCCTACATACCAGTTCAGAAGAATGTAAAATCCTCATTGGGTGTCCCGAAGAGCAAAGAGCACAACTGGGGAACACTACTTGCATGGGGAGGGGGGGTTGCATGGGGGCAAAGGTTCCTCATCCAGGGGCAGAACATAATCTTCCCTTTGCACAAGTCTCAGGCAAAGTTATGATCTCCACTCAGTTCCAGTGACACAAGACATTTATACGATAGATAGCATCGAGGGGCTCCCCAAGGCTCTCCCTGTTACACAGCGTCAGACTGTGCTACACAGAAGCATTGAGCAGGGAGACAAGGGTAAAACCACAAAGTCAAACTGTGCAAAGACTTTAAACATTTGAAACCGACTAACAAAAGCTAGGGACCATGTTCAAGTATTGCTGTTTGTGACATCTTTCAAGATTCCTGACATGGTACACGACATTTGAAGTAATCTTTCAAACCCTTCACAACTCAGTAATTTGAATTCAGAGCACATGCTCACTCATCCCGGAAGCAGGCACCTGGAGATCAGCGTTTGCTTCCAAGACAGGCTAGATTTCCTGGGTCCTCGTCAGTAGGGGCCACCTGATTTCTCTGTGCAGACTCGAACCCTCGGAAGAATGGGAGCACCATCCTACATCCTGTGTGTTCAAGAGGGGCCAGGTGTGATAGAGACCCAGTGCTCTCGTCCCCTTTCCTGTGTAAGACAAATCCCCCGACCATTCAAACTGCGTCTCTTCCTTATTTTATTTCATTCTTCACATTCTTGGCTTCCTGAATTTCTTCACCACCAAATCGTTCTATCTTCTTCGGGTGAAAGAAAGTGAAAATCCACAGCTAGGCAGAACTGTAGAATCTCTGGTCGCTAAAATGAAGTCACGGCGAATTACACACAGACCCGATTACATATATGTGGCTTCGGTGTCCACCTCCTTGTGGCTGTCTTTCATACTAAAAAAAAATATCTTTCAAGGTGGCTCACTGGTATCGAGAACCCTGGCACATTTTAACATCCAGGACCCTGCGTTCTGGATGAGTGAGGCGGGAGTGTGTGTGGGGTGGGGGGATGGCCTCTGTCACCAGCGCTCCAGGTACCAACCCTCCTTCCGCGCTCGGAGGTCGCGCTCTTTAGTCGGGAGTTTTAGAATTCTCTATGCTGCACTAGGTCCCTGCCAGCACCCTCCTTGGCTGAGGTTTAGCCTCTCGCTGCGGGCCAAGCCTTCTCAGGCAGGATACGAGAAGGGGTCTTCTTGCCCTTAACACCTCAATCTTCTCCCCTGTAGTCTCTCAATCTCTCCGATCGCCCTATCCTCTGAGCTCTCCCCTTACTGAGTGAACTGAATTTGTGGGCAAGATTCTTTCTGACAGTCCCCAAAGGTCAGCATCACAGGTAGTTCTCAGACATCCTCGCGTCTATGAGTTCACTTAACTGTCGTGCCCGCTTGCTACCGTAGAGTCCTATCCTCCAATTTCAATTCTGAGAAGTCCATCTCTTCCCCAAGAGGTGTCCTCGGCCCCTACCCGCTTAAAGTCACTCAAACTGAGACCAAAGCTTCCATTCGCTTATTCAGCGTTTTTACCAGCTTGATTTTGCCTTCTGTTTGTGGCGCCCCTGGGGGAAGATGTCAAACACTCATATTCATTGTATTTAGTCACCCAGGTGCGGAGCGGGCCTGAAATAGACAGCGGAAGGAGTTTCCCCGGACTGAGCTGTCACTCACCGATCTGCACCAATTACAACGCAGATTGCCCGCGGGCCCACCTCTTTTGGGGTGTGTCACAAGTGAGTGATAGACTGAGCCGCCCGGCCCTGCTCAGCCCAGCCCACGTTGCTGCTTAGATTGAAATGCAGAACTCAAGCCTCTTTCTGCCCGGCACAGACTTCCTTTTACTCTTTCCTTTGGCACTCTCGTCGCCTCCTCCTGGGAAGAAGCCGAGGCACCCGCGGTTTGGAGCAGCGACAGGTCGGCCTAGTGAGAGCGAGAGAAAAGTTTCTTTCTGGGAGTGCGGAACTGGGGCCGGGTTGGTGTACTGCTCGGAGCAATGGGTGAGTGGCGGCGGGGGACGCTGTCAGAACCGAGGAGGGAGGGATCGAGCAGGCGAGGGCGAGAGGGAGGGAGCTGGGGCGCGCGACCGCGCGACCACGCTTTATTGACTCAGACCGCGTCCCTGAGAGCTGTACGAACACGCCAAGGGTCAGAGGCAACGGGGGAGCAGGGGGAACTCCCGCTACTGGGTGGCAGTTGATGCCATTTTCTGATCTTAAGAGAAGAGGGCCGTGACAGGGGCGAGTACCGAGCTCCAGTGTCAACCCAAGTTTTGTTGCACACGTGTTTACACATGCAAACAAAACAGGACAAAAACAAAACAACCTCTTAACTTTCCCTGGATTCTGTCTAACCGCGCTGGGGGAAGCGGGTAAAGCGGTGGAGGAAAACAGGGGCTGAGCGTTTTTGGTGCCAAGCAGGCAAGGAGGGGCGTGCTGGCGCATCAGTACCGATCTCCCCGCCTGCTTCGGAGAGTTTTGGGTGTCCCCAGCTGCCCCAGCTCTCTCTACGTGTTTATAGCTGGAATGTTCCAAGCAGGAAGAAGGTCCGGCCGCAGCTTATTTAGGGCCGTTTGTCCCAGGCAGGGACCGTCTGGTTTCGGGGCAGCACTATTCCAATCAGGAGGGTGTTATAGCCCTGTCCCCGGACGCTCGTGGACGCCGAGTGGCAGGCGGCTGTCCCAAGCAGCGGGTGCGCGTTGTTGCGCGCTCTATGCTCCTTTTGCAGAGCCAGCCTTCGGAGAGGTGAACCAGTTGGGAGGAGTGTTCGTGAACGGAAGGCCGCTGCCCAACGCCATTCGGCTTCGCATCGTGGAATTAGCCCAACTGGGCATCCGACCTTGTGACATCAGCCGCCAGCTACGGGTCTCGCACGGCTGCGTCAGCAAGATCCTGGCGCGCTACAACGAGACGGGCTCGATTTTGCCCGGAGCCATCGGGGGCAGCAAACCCCGGGTCACCACTCCCACTGTGGTGAAACACATCCGGACTTACAAGCAGAGGGACCCGGGCATCTTCGCTTGGGAGATCCGGGACCGCCTGCTGGCGGACGGCGTGTGCGACAAGTACAACGTGCCCTCGGTGAGTTCCATCAGCCGGATTCTGCGCAACAAGATCGGCAACTTGGCCCAGCAGGCTCATTACGACTCGTACAAGCAGCACCAGCCTGCGCCTCAGCCCGCGCTACCCTACAACCACATCTACTCGTACCCCAGTCCCATCGCAGCGACCGCTGCTAAGGTGCCTACACCACCCGGGGTGCCGGCCATCCCCGGTTCAGTGGCCATGCCGCGCACCTGGCCCTCCTCTCACTCTGTCACCGACATCCTGGGCATCCGCTCTATCACCGACCAAGGTAAGGGGCTCAGAGGCAGGCTGCTGAGCAGAGTGGGTTCCTGCATGCTGTCGGGAACCCCAGAACCTCGGCCTTTAGCGAGTGTCTATCCCACCACCTGTGGGTTTTTCTTTTGGAAACCTAAGGAGTCTTCCCAGGGGGTGTCCTGATCTCATTAACTTGAAACTCTTGCCCCTTCGTTTCCTTGCCACACACACAGTCTGCAGCCTCATCTCAAACTACCAGACCCATAACATCCCCCCCATCCCCAACACATGGTTCGCATTTTCCACCCTCCCCCGCCTCTCGCACACTCGCGGCCTCAGCCCGGCTAGTCTGCTTGGAGAGCGCAGCCGGCCTACTTGGGAAGCAGTGGGGGAGGCCCTAGCTGGCTAGGGCCTGCGGGCTGCAGATGCTACTGCCGGTAACTTGCTTGCCGATCAGATGGAGCAGCTAAGAGACCCGCTCGCTGTGGAAATTGTATTATTATTCTCGGATTCTGGCAATCAGGCCAAATTTGCTCAGGCAGGAAGTTCAAATGTCACCTAATTGGTTTCATTCTTATGCTTCATTTTCCTCGGAAACCGAGGTCCAGGTTCTCTCTCTCTCTCTCTCTCTCTCTCTCTCTCTCTCTCTCTCTCTCTCTCCCTCTCTCTCTCTCCTCTCCTTTCCACCCTGCAGATACAGTGACAGTTGCTTGACGGTTTGCTGTTGTCCTTTCTGCTGCAGCTGTCTCTGGGTGTCCCTCCCTGCCAGGCTCCCGTTTACCTTACAGTCCTTGGGTCCTAGGAAATGCTAGTGGCGGTCGGACCCCTTCTTGCGCAGGTTTTCAGCCTGAGTCTTGCGCTGTCCTGAGTGCTTTTCTGCCTGCTCCGAAAGATCCCCCGGCACTCTGCACCCTAAGACCCAGCTTCGCCGGGAGTCTTGGGTTTGTTTTCTTTTATTGTGCTGCTAAAAATAAAATGTAAAAGACATTAGCTTCGTTCTTGGTGTAGGGAGAAAAAGAAACTTAAAATGTTTTATTCGCTCATTTTAATGCCTAATTTTTCACTGTAAGGTTTAAGACAGGCAGAGGAAAAATTAAGGAAAGAGGAAAATATTTCCTGTAATCATTTCTTGCTTTCTGAGTTTCCACCACATTGGCACAATCACTTTTTAAAGTAACGAAAGCAGTGCATGGTTTCTCCTCTTCTTATTTTCTGACTGGGAATTGACCAGAGTTATTTGGAACTGGCTGGAACCTTAGTTGGAGACGTTGCCCTTGATTTATAGGATAAACTGACCTCACTGACATTTAAAGGAAGCCCCTGTTCGTGGGAACGTGTGTGATCAGCAGAAATGGGGGCTCACAGGGGGATCTCAGTTTCTTAAGATAACTTCAGGCTTGTGCCCACCGACTGCCTTTTGTCTGGGAAGGCAAAGGCCAACAGGCCTGAACCAGCCATGGCTTCCTGCTGCAAAGAATGGGAATACGACCTTTTTCTTTGGAGGGGGAGGCCTAGTGAAACTAGGCAGATTCTTCTCTGGGGAGTCCTGCAGTCAGACCCAATGTCAGGTAGGAAAGTATAGGATAATAGAAGGGAGTGATGGTTTCTTGTAGATATTGCTGTCTATTTATGATGTCACTTTTAAACAACCAGTTTCTGATAAATGTGTGCTTTTCTCCAAATGACCACACTTTGAAGAACTTGTATCAGATAGAAGTGTCTAAAATCAAGTTTAAACAACACCGTCAAATTTCTATACACAGGGCCAAGAAACAAATGTCTTTTCTTCAATATGCATGACTGAAGATATTCTGGCGATCACCTTACTATCTCTATTTTTGTTTATATGTCCTTTTAGAGCAGAAAGACAGGCACATGGCTTTAGCCCTTTTCCTGACAGTGAGTTCTGCTTTCATTCTCTTAATGATTTATTTCATTTTCTCTTTCTAATACTTAAAAAAAAACCTTCCTTATAGTTGACCATTGACACTCACGGTGCTTCCAGACTTAATTTTAAATGTACGCATATAAACTTACTCATTTAGCAGACAGAGATTGTCGGGAAGTCCCGTATATGCCCACGATGTGGAAATCTGTGCGTGTGTGTTTTGCATGTGCATTGTGGGCATCGTTCAGTTATTTGTTTGCAAAGGACTTTGCAGCTCTTTTGTTCTGTCTTATTGACATAACTATCAGATCTCCACAGTGCAGTGTGCATTTTTCAGGCTGTCTCTGAGCAAGACACACTTAAACCTCTTTCCCTCATCTGTCGCCGCACCACCACCACCACCACCTCCACCACCACCACCACCACAAGGAGCGTCAGTCAGGTCTTTGCCACTCTCCTTCAGTAAGGACAGAGGTGACGAACAAATACCCAACTTCACAAGTTTGGGTTCTTTCTTCCATTTGGAAAAATTCTCTTTCAATCCTTTCCCTGAGAGATCAAGAAGGGAGAAAGGAAATCTAACGCTGGTTTTAAACAAAACAAAATTCTGTCAGGCGTAAGTGAAACTTAATTCAGAGGCCTACTTCCAGGTCATTAAAACTTCTCCGGGCCCTAAGCTGAAAAGCGAGGTGTCTATGCTTGGGCCCAGCGCTGGTAGGAGGCCTAGAGCAGGGGAGCTGACCCAAGGTCTCAGCCCCAGAGCTTTGTGGTTAGGGATTCGGGTCTTGTCTCAGGAGGGGGCGCACGGGTTGAGGCCAGCCTGACAGACAACTCTCTTCCACCTTCCCAGGAGTGAGCGACAGCTCCCCCTACCACAGCCCCAAGGTGGAGGAGTGGAGCAGCCTGGGCCGCAACAACTTCCCGGCCGCGGCCCCTCACGCAGTGAATGGACTGGAGAAGGGAGCCTTGGAGCAGGAGGCCAAGTACGGGCAGGTGAGGAGGAGAGGGCTTGGCCAGGCGGGCCTCCTGGTGCGGGGAACTGGGAGTTGGAGGGGGTCGCAGAGTCTTTCTGAACCTCGACCGGGGAGAAAAAACCCGGGCTGGAGACCCACTGGTGCCAGGAGATGGATCTCGGGTTGACTAAGTCCGGGCGGAAGGCTGAGTAAAAGCCTGGCGTCCCGCTGCACGAGTGACCCCCTAATCCTTTCATCACACCCAGCAGTCACAGTTAACCCAAGGCCGGGCATTGGGGTTCAGAGCAGCGCCCCGCTAGCGGGATGCGGCCGGAACACCGGCAAGCCGAAGTCGCAGGACTTGTAGGAGGCTGCCGGCCATGTGCAAGACAGTTCCCCTGCCTTGTCCGGCGATAATGGAAGAGGGGCAACCAGATAAACGTAATAAAGTTACCATTTCCCGATTAAAGGTCACATCATAATTTCCCAAGGGAGGTTAGTGAGAAAACCTCAAATTATACGGACTGGCTGTGGACCGTTTAATTTTCCTTTCCCTGCCCCTGGCCCTCCCTCTACTCTCTGAAGGAAAATTTAAAACACTAGTGTTTCTTTTTCTGCCCCCCGCCTCCACTCCGCCTTGAGAAGAAGTAAGCAGCGCCAAACTTTTGTGTGAGTCCAAATTTGTCAGTGTGCTAGCATGAAGAATTCAAAACTCATAGGCGGACTTAAGGCAGTTTGAGGCATTTACGGGGTAGACCCCACCTCCAAAGCGACAGAGTACTTTGTCTTATCTTAAAGGCTTAAAACGTTATTTCTCGTTAAAACCAGTTATAACTATTTATTAGAACGTATTATTCTTATCCGTTGGGGGACATCTTAACTATCATTTTCTCTAACAAAGTACATTTCTATTTCCTAGTCCCTCTCAAGTGTCAGAATGCATTAGTAGCTAGTTACTCTCTGGCAAATAGAACTAAAAACAGCAAGGAAAGAAAGGCGCTTTTATCAGTCTGCTTCCACTGTAGAAAATGCCCATGAGGTAGCATCAGCAAATTCAACATTTTCTTTCGCAAAGACCTGCTTGGAACAATGAGATCACACAGAGGCCACGGTGGTAAGCAGTGGTTAGAAGCCTGGTGCTTGGTACCGCTGCTTCTTGAGCAAGCTGTTGACCCATTTAGAGCCTCGGTTTCTTCATTTTCAAAATAAGGAAATAATAATCCCAAAGTCAAAAGAGTCAGCAGAGTCAACAGATTTGGCTCTTAGAAAACATTCTTTAGTCTCTGTGGTTATAAATGGCAATTAGAGAATGACTTTTAAAAACAAGTGACATTCATATGCATTGTTTAGAAAATCCCTAGTAAGAAACAGTCCACCAAGTATTTGTGACAAACAATAGTTCGAATACACAAAGCAACAAGAACAGTAACATAGCAAGCATTTAACAGGAGCTCACTGCCTTCCCCTGCTCATTGCTCTTTGGAATCACACTGTGAAGTCTAGGGTTCAAACTAAGCTCCAGCTCCCACATGCAGTCAATGAACACCCTTTACCAAAAAAGCAGTTTCCTCACCCAGAACCCTCCAGAGCCCCTTTCATTTCCCCCTCCCTTGAATGATGTGTCTGTCAGTGAAGCGTGTTTAGAAATGACTAATTTATAATATGCTTTAAAACTAAACTGACAGTTTATTTCAAATAAATAGCATTTCAGGTAATTTGCTGTTTCCCTAAAACTCTTTTTACAAAGAATTTTAAATTACTAAATTATGTTCTATAAAAACAAAGAATTTAAGGAAAAGGTGGCCAGATAAATGCTGTTTTAAATGTTGTAGTACTTAAGAGAACAGAACCCCAAATAAAAGGATATTTCTGTCAAATTTCTATTTGAAGAGCTCTTAATTGAAATGTTATCCCATAGTGCCGTGTAGGCAGGTAATTCAAATGATCTACAATCATGACTCAGAAAGAGTTTCTAAGCACAGCATAAAGCAGCGGATACTCAATTATGATGAAGGTGGAAGATAGGGTAAGTAAGGAGGCACAGTTCACCTTAGACATTGATTTCTTGATGTAAATTACACAGAAGCTCCTAAAAATTAATATGAGTAGGAATTGTGTATGTGTGTATTTCTCTTGCAATATTCAAAAGTTAATTTTAATTTTACAAATTCCGCTCTGTCTGCAAAGTACTGTCAGCATATTCTGATAAAAAGGATAACTCAGGCTCCAGTTGCCCTCCTAGCCAACAAAACTTGAAAGTTCTTGACAAAGCAAAACTGAAAACAAGAATTGGCTGTAATTCATTTGGGCATTTGAAGTTGTAATTAAGTACTGCACTATTCTTTACAGCTAGTTTCCTTTTGGGGTGCTGGGGGTGATGGGAAAGGGGAATTCAGACTCAGAGCTCAGAGCATGTGTGCAGGATTACACCTGCGAAATGACCCTGGGACAAGCAGCCAACTGAGCACCGATGCTATTGCTTACCATGAGCTGAAGTTTCTAGCTTTAGCTCAAACTTCATGTTTCAAAATTAGCTTAGACTATCCAGATTCATCTTACACATTAACATTGTACTGTAATTCATATCAGAATTCCATTCAGAAGTCTTTGTTGACTAGGGTAGAAGTGTTTTTATCTTAAATTTTTCAACTACATTTTTCATCTATTTTGGTCAGGAAATCCTTACTGTCATCTACTTGTGAAGGGAAACAATGTTTTCTTGCTCTTTCTATTTGATTTTCTTATGTTGAAGGAACAAAATCTCGACTTAATGTGATCAAGTGAAAAAATGCAATAGATAAATAGAGGTGTTGGCTTTATCTGTCATTTTACATGGGATTTGGTAAATTAATAATTGATTTTATTTACACAATTCATAAATAAATGCACTGTTTTTGAAAAGTTTTCTCCAAATAGGCATATTTCCGCAGAACAAACTGCTCCCCTGCTCTTGGTTCCCAGTATCTTCATTTTGAGGCTGAGTATGTTAATGGAGCCAGTAAATTTAATATAACACTCATTAGCCATTGATATGTCAGAAATAGAGACTAATCTACAAATACTTGCACTAAAAATGCTCAGAATTAAATGATTTGTGAAGACAGATGAATTTAAAGATGCAGCTTAATCTAAAATTATCATAAAGTATTTATTTGTGCATCATTTTAAGTGATGATATGTTGGAATCATCTTGTATATAATTTTCTAGTGAAGTATTTTAAAAACTTTGTTTCGTAATTAAAAGGCAACTAAATTAAAAAACACTGAACCCATTTTTCTGAATATGGTATTTTCATAAAGACAGAAATGAAGTTGCCCTGAATTTTCTTCACAGTAAATAAAGTGCTAACTTTTGTTAAATTAATTTATAATTTTATAGAGAGTGAAATTTTAAGCAAATTTCAGTAGTCTTTGAAATCCATTGTATTTTTGACATACATGGTCTAATTTGATTAACTTTCAACCAATAGTATTTTAAGCAAACTTAATAATAATTTTATATATATCTGTAAAATGTGTCCTGTGAAATAGCATCACAAGGTAATTTAAAAGACTATAAAATCCAGATTCCTGGATGAAAGGATACTGGATTTTTTTTATTATCTTATGTTATCTGAGGTGATTGACATGCTAAATGATTTTATCATTGTACAATGTATACATGTACTGAAGCATCACATTGTACCTGACAAATCTATATAAATATTGTCGGATGCCAATCGGGTACAAAAAAACAAATTAAATCAGTGTAAGGCTATATCAGTTTTGATAACATTTTAGAAACATAAAATTTAGAAATGATTAAATACCATACTAGCTTCTCATTACCTAGAGACATTTGGACCTGCAATAGGGTAACTAAAATAGGGTAACTGGGATGAGTGTTGAGCCATGTTCCTGGCATGGTTTGTTTTACTAGGTCATTCCATAATAAAGAAAGGAAGAACAGTAGTTAGAGAGATAATCTCAGAGGCATAATTTCTCAAAAATACCTGCTTATTTTCAGATGCGAAATTGCTTTTTGTCCATGAAACTGATATTGTAAATTATATATGAAGCATTATTGTTTGTATGGCCAAATATGTTTTATCATAAAGCCAGGGTGAACTCGTGTTATTAGAAAGAAAAGGCCAAGTGGATTGGAGGAGTGGCTGACAGAGAGACAGATCGTGGACAGTTAGACTGTTATTTGCATTTTCTTTAAGAAAGAAACTGTTGAGTAGACCATTTCCAGAATTTTAAAAAAATAGTCTTTAACTTCTAATTTCCAGACAGTTGTCATACCAACTTTCTTCTTCTTTTCTCTTTTTTTTTTCATGGTCACAAGTGTTTGGATACTAATGCATTTCCATTTTCTTAGAGTGGGAGGAATACAAGGAACAACCATAAATCAAATAGTGAAATGGCTTGTTGGAACTTTTATTTACTTTTGCCAACAACTTTATTCATTTGACTTACTTGAAGTAAATACTTGTTCTGTAATAAAGGATGGGTGTGGGGATTAGCTTTATTTTGTTCTTAAAATAAGAGAATCGTACCTTTGTGTTCACAAGTCTTCAGTAAGTTGTTTATGAAATGGCCCTGATCTGTCCCATTTTGTGAGGATACAAGATGGTTAGGGCAGGTCCTTGTTCTCCAACAGCCTGCCAACAGAGCCATGTGACCACCTGACTCAAACTCTATTACAACATCAGTATTCCTCTAGAAGATCTCTTCTAGTGTTCATGAGATAAAAGCTGTCATTTTACCTGAGACAACTCAACAAAGGAAACTAACTCTCCTGGGTGTGCAATTTGTCTGTTTTACTTCGTATCAGTAAATCTCATTTCCAAAATGAAGTAGAAGGTAGCTGGTTGTGAGGAAGACAGGTACAGCGTTCCTGTCCAGCGGAAATTCTTATTGCTTTCTTGGAAGATCTGTGTGAGAAGGGGGTTGAAGGGCTGGAGTCTTATTTATGAAATATTTAGGCAAAGTAATTTTCAGAAATGGGATTTCTATTACATTCCTATTGCAGGGTTTCATTTGGAAAATTTGTTTACTTTTCCCTTGAGATTCCGTATGTTGGTTGATTTATAAATCATATTTACAATCCAATTAAACTGTAATTTAGCATGTTTGCTCCTACTATATTTATGGTGTACATTTGCTAGTCTCTACTCAGCCTAACGAGCTTTTCATATTAATTACATGCCCTTCACTGAGAACATTGAGCAGATTTGGGGTGTTGAAATTTGCTCCTTTACTGGAAAGCATAAACAACCCAGTGCTACCTGTGGCTGCTTTCCTTTGCTGTGGAAAAATTTACCCTTTCAGTGAGTTCTTCATAAATAGTGATCACTTTGTCCAGTAGAGATTTATTACTTTTACTAATGTTATGTTTCAAAATGAATAGTGAGAAAATGGATATTTATTGAGTCACTGGAATGAATGAACAGTGAAGGAGGCTGGGGGCAGGGGCATTTTCCTAGCTTATTCCCGCCCCCCGCCCCGTCCAATTTTGAAATTTTGAACTCCCAACAGCAGAATGAAACAAAGACAAAAACTCTGTTCTTGTCCTGCTCAAGTCATAGACATGAGGAAAAGCCGTCGAAGAGTTAGTATTCTAAGGCTGAGAATTTCACCCCTTTAGGTGACCAGGTGCCTCTCTTTGTACCAGATGAAGCTACCTCTCTCATCTTATTGCTTCCTCTCGGGTTTTTCTACAACACAGAGAGGATTGCACTACTAAACTGACAACTGGTAAAAACCATGGTGTTTTGAGAACCTTGAAATATTCAGTATTACCACAGATGATAACTAGGCAAGCTTGGTATTTTAGGTATGAGAAGTTGGGTAGACATGGAAAATTTAATAGGCTATGTTATATTTGAATGACTGTAGTTATGGAGTAAATACAGCACACAAAAGTACGCTTAAAGGCCAATGTTTTGCCTCCCCACAAAGGGAGCGTTATCTAAGGTGAGAGTCTGAGCCAGTCTTTCTGTAGGGTGGGGTAATAAGTGGGCCCATGTCAGGAGATTTCAGACACAACAGAACAGCTTGTACCGCATCAAAAATGAGGTTGTAGATAGTAAATTCTGCCACCAGCATCCCGCCGAAAGGACAGGTAGGAAAAGTTTATCAGAGATGGAAAACAGAATTCAACAACAGATATTTTCTCCCAGATGGATCATTATTTTACCATGCATATTAAGTCTTTTGACATTGGGTACTTTAAAAATTCTCCTGGAATTATTACATTCCAAACTAATTTTTAGTGCATCTTGGGGGAAATAAAAGTATAAAATAAAATAATAAATAAAAGCAATAATCTCTGGAATGCTAGGCTATGCCCCATCTTCCCCTGCAACTTGATGTCTGCATAGATTTCCATTACCCAAGAGTTCTAAAACAAGTTCTTTTGAGACATAATTAATTAATTATTCTTAAAAAGGGGACATAAAGTTTTTTTTTTTCAGAAGAGAAAAAAAAAAAACCTAATGAAGAGAGTTGAGTTCTAGGAGACGAAAGAATCTTCTGCTAGAGCTGTGGTTTGAGGTTACATTACACCGCCTTGTGACTGTCTAGGAAAACCACATGGTAGACTGCAGAAGACCTGCCTGCAGCATCAGGAAGGAGTGATGGGCTTTAAATGCATGCCCATTATTCAACTTTCTAAAGAGCCTTGTGCATAAAAAGAAGATAGACCAGGAGGTGTACAGGAGACGGAGGCAGGCAAATCTCTGTGAGTTCATGGTCAGCCTAGTCTACAAAGTGACTCTAGGTCAGCCAGAGCTAAACCCTGTTTCTAAACCACCCCTTCCAAACAAACAAACAAACAAATAAAAAGATAGAATTTTAGTTTTATTAAAAAACAGTATGAAGTTATATCTTTGTTAATTGTTCTGAGTTTTCTTAAAAGGCCATCATTTGGGGAGCCCTTTGAAATACATTTTAATTTCATCTGGGTATTATGGCATATACCTGTGCTATCTGGTTGGAAGGCTAAGGTAAGAAGAACATGAGTTTGAGGCCAGCCTGGATACATGGTGAGACCCTGTTTAAAAACAAAAACAAAAGCTGGGCATAGTGGTACACACATTTAATCCTAGTATTTGGGAGGCAGGAGAATCACTGTGGGCTTAAGGCAAAACTGGTCTACATAGTGAGTTCCAGAACAATCAGAGATACATAGTGCAACCCTGTCTCAAAAAAAAAAAACCCAAACAAATAAAAAACAAAAATAAACAAACAAAAAACCCAAGCAAACAAAATATCCCCAAACTCAAAACAAAGCATTCAAATTTCAATTGAATATATATATGTATATGTATTGTAATTGTGATAAGTTGAACAGCTTATAAATGAGCTATTGTTTTTTTGTTTTTGTTTTTAGAGACAGGATTTCTCTCTGTAATCCTGGCTGTCCTGGAACCTGATCTGTAGACCAGGCTGGCCTTGAACTCAGAGAGATCTACCTGCCTCTGCCTCCTGAGTGCTGGGATTCAAGGCATGTACTACCACCACCCACCTGAGCTATTGTTTATTAACCCTTACAAGTTTCTAAAATATTTGGATATTTCTAGGTGCCTAGGACATAGGAGGTACTCAAGGATCCTTTCTCTTCTCTTCCATTTTAAAAAGAATACACAACAATAAAAAGAAGAATGTAAGATATGTGTTCTAATAGACCAAATATTTAAGATGAGGTTTTGTCAGAAGTCTGTGGGTAATGCTAATGCACATCTCTATATATATTCTACAATATACATGTATATACGTGTGTGTGTCTCTCTGTGTGTGTGTGTTATATTCTCATAGATGTGGAAGTAAAAATGATGACCAAATGAGTTGATTCAGAAAACAATTTTTGGAACTGAATGAGAAGGGATACAGTTTATTGGTGGATGGCATACTTGGTATATACAAAGTTTTGGGCTCAATCTGAGTACACATAAGAAAGCACCATTTTTGTCCTAACTTAATTGGACAAAGCATCTAATATGTGTCTGATTTACTGAGCTCTAGGGACTCAATCATGTTTTCTAATGCAGTTCCAGTATTTACATTACTTTTTCACTAGGAAACATGTTGACACATTAGTTCAGTCATGTCATTTCCAGGAAACAAGATTTAGTCTCTATCTTTACAGAGTAGAAACTGAGAGGAGAAAATGAACCACTTGAAGGGTGGGGAGTACTCATGCCAGAGAGGGATTAGAAATCAGGGTGTTTTGGGTGTTGTTAATAGTAACGATACCAACAATGATTTATTAGATGCCAAGAAAGCACTGGTTTCTAGACAAGCTTGCCTGCCAGAGCCGTTCCATTTTGTTTGAAAACAAAGATTTCACATTAAATTCATTTAAAGGGATTTATCCATGTGGCTTTAAAAACAAACAAACAAATAAAAACCCAAACTTTGCAAATGCAAAATTTTTAATTTCAAAACTACATATACTCATTCATATTTGTGGAGAAAATTTCTTTTCTGATAAAACTGTGAAAAATATATTCCCAAACTTCATTAAGAAAATACACAAACTCCAAACCAAAACAACAATAAGAAAACCAACATCAAAAACCCTTACTAGAAAAGTCCCAATTTTACGTGTTCTTTGTCCAAGTGGCATTTTCAACATGGCATCTTAAAATACGGCCCATGTTTTATTTAACCGAGGGTTTGCTCATTTTGAGTTTCTAACACAGCAGCCCGCACCTTGTGCCCTTCAGTCCTGGAAATGAAAGCTTTATGAAACAGGCCTGTCACAGAGCTTTAACAAAGGAACTGAACGAAACCCAAGTGCCAGGAAGGTTGACAAAGGCCGTGGAGAGCTGCCTAATCAGGGTTGACTCTTTCTCACCCTGCCTCGCCTTCGTAGACTTTCAAATCACAAAAGTAAGAACTGTGAATTTTCTGGCTGTAGCTTCCTCAAAAAAAGTTTGTAGAAAGAACAGTATCTTGCTTTTCAGCCCTGTGTTTGTTTAAGGAGCCAGACTGGATACTTTTAGGTCAAAGAAAGGTTAAAAGGAAGTCTAGGGAAAAAAAGACAGCCCAGAAGTAGAACCGGGATATTGTGAACTCAGTCCGAGTTTCGAGTCTGTGTCTGAGGACTGGAGAGATGTTGAGTACTGTAATGTGATTGCCTTCCGTTTCTTCTGTCTTTCCTCCCAGGCACCAAATGGCCTCCCAGCTGTGAGCAGTTTTGTATCAGCATCCAGCATGGCTCCTTACCCTACTCCAGCTCAAGTGTCACCTTACATGACCTACAGTGCTGCTCCTTCAGGTTATGTGGCTGGACATGGGTGGCAACATGCCGGCAGCACTCCTCTGTCCCCCCACAACTGTGACATTCCCGCATCGCTGGCTTTCAAGGGAATGCAGGCAGCCAGAGAAGGTAGCCACTCGGTGGCGGCTTCTGCACTCTGATGGGAACTTCTATTTCCAGCCGCTTCACTTTGGTCTCCTCTCTCAGCAAATCCACCCCCTCTTCACACCCCACCCCTCCAGTGGTCCAGCCCGCCTGCCTCAAGAGCTGGCTTTATGGATTCATAAGCTCTGTGCTGATGACACTTAGATATTTCCTGTCGTAACTTCTTTCTTTTTTGCAGGAAACCTGGCGTGACTTTAGGATTAAAAAAAAAAAAAAAGCAACTCTAAAGATCGAATGAGACATTTTTGTTGCCCGCCAATTGCGTTAGCAAAGTGAAGAAACCTGTACCCCTCAAAGGGCTTATGGGACTTTACAGACCTACCTGTCTTTGGTAAAACCACACATGTATATTTATTCTAAATCAACCTGAACTTTTGAAACGTGCAATTGTTGAGATTTTGCAAAATCAATAAAGGAAAACAGACGTAGAAAAAAATAAGCTATGTGATACCCTTTAATCAAATAATGTGACCAGATAATCCTTAATTCACCATTAGGAAACCAATCAATAACTGACTCGTGTGATCCTTTGCTTGTTTTTAAGAGATGACGTATTTTGTTGAAAAGTATGTATAGATCCCAAGCAATATCGGAAACTTTCCTCCTTTCGTTGGTGTTTTGACTTGGTTCCTAATACAATAGTGTTTATATTTCTATTAGCTTGTAAATATGGACTGTGGATGGTGCACTGAGTCTTCACTGTACGGGCTGCTCCTCCTCCAACATCACCACCTCTATTGCCCTCTATTTTTTTTTTCTTTTTAGCAAAGGTGACTTTCTGGCAGTGTATTTTTCTGTATTTGGTGGTGGGTCACTCGGGCTCTTGGACCTGGACTTGCCCCCAAATTGTGTGTGTGCGGTGAAGGCTTCAGCATCTCACAAAGGATACTTTCTTTCTACAGCAGAGGACTCAAAACACGGACAAAACAAGCCACTTGCCTATTTGTATCCCAGTCAAACAACACACATGCAAGCATAGGACAACGAGAGGCTGGAATGTACCTGTACCGCATGGCTCTGAGGGAAGTCACCTAGACACAAGTCTAATGTGAAGTGTTTTTTTGCAGAGACACTTAAAATGAACTTTATGTGATGAAAGAAAAAAAAAAACCACTGTGAAATGAAATTGTACTGTTATTGTTGGCTTACCTGTGTGCTCAGCAATCTCAGCCCCAAATTATCTTGTAACTTAAAAGGAAATGGAGAATTCTACTCTAATGAATGTAACAATGGCTCTCTGTGAAGTTTACATTGTGTGCCGAAGCATGTTTCACGTGTAGGTCAATAGGTGTTGGTACGAGAAATACAAATGCTATTTAATTTTTAGCAAATTCCCGCTATTCATTTATAGAATTACAGAACAGAGATCAACTGCTAAGCATTTCTAGACCGATTTGATTTTCAGTTTCATGCTATGAATAGACTTGCAGGATATGCATCCGTGTGTGTGCCCCCATGATTGTATGGCTTATTTTAGAATAATTCATTTTTTGGACAAGATTCTACAGCTTGCACTTCTTCTGCTTAGGAGGTTTCTCTTGCTTGGAAAAATCGGGTTAAAAGTAACTTTTAGGACATTGGCGCAGTTCATCTGTCGAGATTCGAATGTACTGCAGGGTATCTTGGTATTAATTTCATTCAGTAACTAAACAGGTACCTTCCCAGATGTGGGTGTTAAAGATGCGAGCTTGTTGGCAGATTTGGTTTCTTTGCATGTGTGCTGTGCACGGCTGACATGCTGTGCAGTTTTCTTTGCCTCTTCTAAAGCTCGGGTGGCCAACTCAGCTCAGCTCATTTTTGACTCCCTAGGATATAAACTGTAAGCAGATTTTTGACACAGAGTTATGTTCAAGGAACTGGTTTTTTTTTTTTAAAACAGCAGATGTCTTATAGAGAGCTTCATACTGCATTTCTTTCTAAAGCAACCGGCATTCACAGCTACAAACAGGATTATAACTTCAGGAGAAGAAAAGCAGAAGGAGCCGATGAACTCTCAGGGCCATAGCATCCCTTTGATCTTGTAAAACTCCCCGTTGACGTCTGGAGTTTCCAGTGTGGTGAGAACACAGGCCATACCCGAATGGCACAAAGATTCAATCCAATGTTTTGGAGGAGACTTGCAAAGCATGGAGTAGAGGAACTTGCCATCCAGAAAAATTGACTTAAGGTACAGAATTATTCTTTATCTAATGTTTTTAGGTGGCTCTTAGGGGTGTTGAAAAATATCAATTGTTTGTATGGAAACACAACTAATAATGTTATTTTCCTTATCTAAATTAAGAAAGCTTATTGTTATTTATATTTTTCTGTTTTTTTGTATTTTAAGAAATTAATATTAATAGTGTCAAAGTTTTCCTTTCCACTTTCTCTTTTCTCCCCAGGTTTTTAATTAATTGCAGTAAATCCACATGGAACAATTTTTAAGACAACAGAAAGCCTAAACAGAGTTAGCTACTCCTGGCCACTTAGGATTTGAAGCCACTTTAAAAACTGAGACCAGGAAAACAGTGGAGCCAGGACTGCTTGGTCTTTAGAGCTGTTACTGTTGGCCAGTGTTAGTGCCCTTGCCTTGACTCTCCCAGGGTAGACTTCTGATTGGCACGTGCACTCTTTGTGCTCCCCTTTCCATCCGGTGCTGTGCCTTGAGCCCTCTTCCACAGGGTGCCAGCGTGTAGCACCTTCAAGGACAGAAAGCCATCACACGACATAAACTTCTGCTCCTGGCTTTCTGTTTCTAGTGACCCACATATTGAATATTGGGCTAACATACAAATGAGAAAAAAAAAGCATGTTGGAAAAGATGTACAACAGAAGGCTATGTATGTATATACAGTATGTTAAAAGCCTTTTATTTTTATACTTCAAATGCTCTAAATTAATAAATACAAATAATTACCATGTCATTTTTACTGTTTATTTTCAAAATGTTTTGGTGAGAATCCCCCATAGTAGAAATACCCCACAGTAGTAGTTAAGAGCAGGTGCCATCTAAAACATGCCGACATTTGTTTTTGTTGTTGACTTTAGCTACTGAAGTCGTCTCATTTGAGGCTGCAGGCTTAAAAATCAACTCTGGGTATATCAAGACCAAAAAGCTGTATTTTTTTGAGTGCATGTTCGTGCAGGTGTGCCTGGAAATGCTAAGAATGTAATTTCATTTTGAAAGATTTTCCCTTTATCATAGACATTTTAATATCTTAGACTGTTGATTTTATACTTAAAGATGCCACTTACACCCAAGAATCTGGAGAACAGTTTTATTTCCCTACATCCTTTTTAAGGATGGCATAGGTAAGGGCTCAGGACAGAGGTGTTTGGAGGCAAATATAGGAAACAGAGAGGGGCCCAAGGAGTGTGTCCAGTTTGTGACTTAACATAAAAATATTTCAGTAATAAAACTTGTCTTCAAAATGAATTATGTAAAGGGAATCTGTTTACTATAACACCGTGTATTCTATTTGTAATAAAAGACTTCAAATAGCATGATTTAAAAATAACCCAGTTAAACCACCATGTAAAATACAAAATAGGTTTAAGAAAACAGACCCTAACTGTGTGTTATTACTAAAGAAAACTGGTAGACTCACATTTTAACACAGCACTCACAAAATTAAACATTCTTAAAAGGCTGTTTTGGTATATTTAAATTTTTTTCTTTCTTCTCTTTTAAAATATGATTTATGAAAAAAATAGTCATTATAGAAACTTTTAAAGTTTGGCTTATAACTCAGTCTTTCTTTGAATAATTCTCAGGGAATTAGCCACAGAACAATTTATCTTTAGGAATTTAAGTATTTATAGACTGCTCAGAAAGATTATTAAACGAGTTTTCATTGGGAAGCAGTGTGAGTTGTATAGCTTTTATGAGCTGTATCTGATCTGGACCCCACTCCTACTTAACTTACACACCCCACTGCTTCCTGCACACACAGTGGGTCTTGCCATGTCAATCTGTCTAACTTTCTAAACTATCAGAATAGGCTGTCTTCCCTCTTTGCAGTACATGTCTTCTCTTCATGGGACTGCAGATCACATGTCCGTTGTCAAGGGGAGACTTTTCTTAGCACATCACCAGTTTTCCTGTAGCCATGCATAGGTGTGTTCATACACCAACAGCATCACTGCGCCACCTAGGAGAGAGAAAAGCTGCATCTCATCAGAGTTCTGAGAAAAGGCATCGACACTGCTCCCGGCTTCCACCCCATGCCACAGAGGCGCAGGAGGCCTTATCAGACAGGGGCTTTTGGAATCATCAGTTCTGGAGCTCAGAGGCACAGATAGAAAACAACAACTGTGGAAAATTCTCAGAGTGAAATCAAGACCATCTTGTGTTTCCAAATGCATTTTTTTTTTCCCTATGAGTTTCTGCAACTTTCATCATTTCTCATCAGATTCTTTTTCAGGCACTTTTTCAGCTTTAAAAAAGTAAATAAATAAAGACATATTTAGTCATGTAAAGGCATGTGACTTTTCTGCGAACAAAAAACGTTCAGATTCTTACATCTAGCCAAAAGATTTCTCATTTTTAGACATAATTGGCATTGTCTTCGTTGCATTTAAGAAAGAATTCGCCAAGACTGTGCTTTGACAGACACGTCTGACTTTTAAACTGGATTGTGCTGTTTGGAAAATACTTTCTGAATGTCTTAAAACACTGCTTTGCAAAACTTAACAAAAGCAAGTTGGGAGCTAAGCATCATTCCACTTCTCTGCCTCAGATGTGTGCAGATTTGAACTTGAACATTTGGAGGTAGAGTTGGGTGGTGTGGGGCCACCCTTTGTCTTAGATGAGAATGCTGTGTAACTGGTTGGGAAGTGGTTTGCTGTCAAAGACATCAACAGGAATACGACTCAGGAAAATAAGCACAGAGGATGCTGGACACCTGCACTCTGGGGCAAGCATTAGCCTAGCAAACACCGCCTGATGTCGCAAAGAGGATGCATTCTGCGACTTAGAATGGCCTATGTGAAAAAAAAAAAGAATTACAAAACCCAAATGTGGACAAAAACTCAGAGCATGACTTAGAACAGGCTTGGCTGCATGGGTGGAAGGTTGATCTCTTGGAAAGAAAAGGAACTTGATTTGGATCTTAGCTATTTTGCACACGCTGCCATATGATTAAAAAAAAACCTACAGGCTGCACATGTTTGTGTAACTATAAACCAAAGATAATTATCTGCCTGTAATTTTCATTTTTAACCCATGGAGATACTCTATTAAACTCCGGTCAGCTGGTAAAACTCTCCTTGAATTCTAAAAATACAAACAAATGAACAAACAAGAAACCCTACAGAGGGTTTTGTGTGGTGTGTGTGTGTGTGTGTGTGTCTGTGTGTCTGTGTGTCTGTGTTTGTGTGTGTATCTGTGTGTGTGCATGCTCACTGCATTTACTTTTACTAACTGTTCACAATGTAAAGCATGTTCATGCATGCTCTCCATGCCCCCACCAAGACAGGGGAGAGAGAGAGAGAGAGAGAGAGAGAGAGAGAGAGAGAGAGAGAGAGAGAGAGAGAGAGAGAGACTACTTTGATTTTCAGACTAGTGAGGTCTAGAGGAGAAATCAGAGACATTGTTAGCCACATTGAGCTGCTAAAACATCTACAAAAACAAGATGAAATGGTTCTCTAGGATGAAGGATGAAAAATCCGGGTGCCCCACTTGCTTTCTTTCCTTCATCTCTTCCCTCCCTCCCTCCCTCCCTCCAATCCTCTTGCTTTTCTCCTTCCCTCTTTCCTCACTTGTGATGCTCCATCATCGAGCTACCTCCAGCCCCCACTCTCTGTATCTTAAGCTTAATTTTTGAATTTCATTTTAGAAAACCCCACACCATTCCGTATATGTGCCTGCCTCCGTGCCAGGGAGAGGGTGGCAGTCAGAGGACTGCTTACAGGGTTTCTTCTCTCCTTCCACCATGCAGGCCCTGGGGGAAGCCACTCATGCTGCCAGGTTAGTGGGAAGCATCTTTACCCACTGAGCTGTCTCTCTGCTCCCCATTTTCTTTTATGCTATCTTCTTTTCTCCTTTAAATATGCTTGGCCTTAACTCAAAACTCCACCTTTCTCCTCTAAAGTCCTCCCTTTGATGTTCCCAGGACTCGCACTTTTGAAATGAAGGAGAGGCCAGGTGTTTCCACTAGGTTACTGGTACTTCACAGTTTGGTTTAGGCTGGGCAGTAGCACAACAACCCTTTCCGTCACACTTAACACCACAGCAACTTAGAGCCCCTCACGGAGAATTATTTAAAACTCACGCAAACATTTGAAAGCCTCTAACAGAACTTGGGGCCAAAGTAAGAGTTTTGAGTTTTGGTTCAAGGTTCCAG